TATATATATATATATATATATATATATATATATATATACGGATGGAAGCTTTGTCTGAAATAGACCTTAAGAATTTTAATTTACAAATTAATTTACAAATTCCACGAAAACATTATTTTTCAATTTTTATGCGTTTCTTAAACTAAAAGAATGAAAAATGTAGTATTTTTTTATCCGTTATAGTTTTAACCAAGAGTTAATAAAAAGTGGCCCGCAACAATTCTTACGGTGGTCAAGGTGCTTTTATGTTATGACTACAATTCGGAGATCACTCGCATGATGACTACAATGTGGTAATCAATAAGCTCAGGCCACTTTTATTTTCCGAGCTGGCTAATCTCTCAATTTCAAACTGTGTGAGTTTCACAGCGTAATCGGAAATAGAACCAGCGGTCTCCAAATGGCGTTCCGCGGAACCCTTGAGTTCCAGGAAAAGATCTCAAGGTTTCCGATAATGATGAATTTTTTTTACTAGCCATGATTTTTTTACCTGTAATTTAACTTAAGTGCAAAAAATAATAATCTATTATTTATTTAATATTCCAGTTAATTTTAATGAATTTATGCAATTTGAGGAAATAAGTAATAAATTTGAGAAGAAATAAATTTCAAAACAAGGTTTTCATAATAATAATGTGAATGAATTATGAAAAGGATATTTACATTTGTGAAAAAATCCATTAGTATTTCGTATCTTATAAAAAGTACCATATTCAACAATGAAGAAGTATGTTTCTCTGATCATTATTCTCAAGGAATTTTTTTTCCTTTTTCTTTTAGTTGAATGGAAAGTGCATCATTGATTATTTCTCAGTTGATGCAAACAATTAAACGAAATTAAGAACTAGACGATAGTTGCCACGAATTAAACTTTTTAACACAAAACCATATTTTAAGACTAATATTGATGAAATCATATGATGTAAAAATTCATTCGACAATCATTCATAAAATATTTCAAAATAACGAATAAATTTAGAATCATTAAATATTTTGAAATTAATATTCATGAAATTTACTCATTAAGTTTCGGGGTTCCGCCAAAGGGCTCCACAGTCGGGGAAAAAATTGGAAGCCACTATTCTGGAAGATTAAAAAAATGACTATTTTAAATGTTGAGTTTTTAAAACAATTTAAAACTTCTAAAAACAATTATTTTAAAACTTACTTTTCCGTAATTGGTGATGGTAATGTTGATGAGGATATATTAAAAATACTGTCAGACATTGTTTGATTTTGTGATGAAGGACACATACTATTGCTCAGAGGTAATAGAGGTTGAACATATCCTGCATAAAGAGAGCTTAGCGCAATCCAGGCCATTATTACATAAGTCACTACTACAGCAAAAGATATACACTGAAATTAAAAAAGTTCTCGTAATTTAAATACCTAACTTTCTCGCTGTTATTTCTTAAGCAATATTTTAATGCACAATTAGACAAAATCATTCGAATAATTCCTAAGAAATAGAGTTTAAACAAGTCTTATATGTAAATTATATTTATATATAAAAATGTATATTCATGCGTGAAAGAGTATATTTAGTGTTTGATTTTGTAAATTAAAATATAGTCTGCGCTAATTAATTAGCATATTTGAGGTCACCCCATCATGCCATAAGTTTGAGTCGTAGTACGTGAAAATACAATCATAAAATCAAAAATTATTCAGAATACTTCTTTTGTGTGTGTGTGCACTGTGCTTCTTACTATTTGCGCATTTTACTGTTTTCGTCACACTAAAGATTATTTTTACTCCGTTTTTAGCATTTGATTTTTTAAATGATAAATTTAGATCGTAAAGATGGCCTTCAATTAATTGCTCTGATATGCGTAGCAGTTTAAATCAAAATATTTGGTTTTTACTACAATGTTCCTAACTGCGATTGATTACTCGTAGAATGTATTTACATTTAAATGTGTTTGACGTTATTGAATTTATTTCACATTATTAAGTGTATTTTGCATTAATAACTGTATTTTGCCATATTAAATGTCTTCAACATTGTTTAATGTGATTTTTTTTATTTTTCTGCTAAAAATTTAAAATGCGTTGATTGCTGATGCTGAAATAGCAAGTTTATTCAGAACACAAAACTGAAAATACTTATGAATTGATCCAAATGTTTCAAGTAAAATAAAAAAGTAAGGCAATCATGAATGATAACGAATTACAGCAGACAACATGAAAGGTTGACATTATAACAGTTAAAAAAATATAGCTGTATTTAAAATTTTTGTTGCATATATTTTTATAATTTGAATTATAGACAAATTAATCATTTTTACAGTTTAGTTCCACTTGCACACTTATTCACCAAATATTTTACTGGTAAATAAAATGTAATTTGCGAATTGCTTTTTGTGAAATCTAAATTTTATTCGGAAGAACAAACCTAACTTTTCTGGTTATCAGCAGCAAAAATATACAACAAAAAGTATTACATTGTTAGAAAAATTTCTCTGAAAATATGGTTAAATAACAATTTATTTCATTGTTATTTTATGATATTCAAGTAAAACAGTCAAAAACCCATAAATAGGCATAAATACGATGGTATAAAGGATGTTAAATGAGAAAAGAAACTGTTTATTAACTCATTTCACCTATTATAATTAAATAACCAGAATTTTATCGCATCAACTAGGCTCGTCTGAAGAACCCTTTTAGTTCCTTGCAGATGGGTACATACTATAGTCCACGAGGTTAATCTGTCAATTTTATGACCAACAAGACGGGGGTCGGAGTCCTATCGGTGACCAATTTATGTTAACAATATCTTTCTATTTCCTTCAGCACAAGAAGACGTTTCTAGAGTCTTGCACTTCCCAATTTGTGGCCCTGGACTAAAAACATACGATACACTCATTCAAGCACAGATGGCAGCACCATAAAGGTGCTAAACTATCTCCAATATCTGGTTACGTTCCTTTTTACGGTTTTGAACCCATGATCGATGTAAATTGTTAAATAAATCGCATAGATGTGTATTCATGTTTTTTTAGCACACTAGAACTAAATGTTCGCTATCGTTAAATTTACGCTCAATTGCATGGACAGACTGCTTTCGGTTATATTACCGTAATTTCAGAATGAAATTTGTGACAGTGTAACTTATATATTTTACAAAAGTTTTTTGAATAATACAAATGGTTTTAATATAGTAATACATATTTTTGTAAATATTTTAATATAATGAAATGTTTAAGTAACATAGTTCTACCTGCAGTTATAAAAAAAATTATATAAGCTAAAAATAACGAAAAGTAACGAAATTAAAAAAATAAGGTAAAAGGAATTTATATTACTTGCAGGAAAAATAAATTATGTAAATGAAACTCTTTAGCAATTTATCCTACACAACTGAAATTTTTTCTTCATAGCTGCCACACATAAGATTTTTTGATTTAAATGAATAAATAAGTAAAAAAAATATAAATAGGTAGTAATTTGTATTCAATCATTATTCTTAATTATTTCATGCTCATTATCAAATTTCGTAATATTAAATAGCTAAAAGGATGTGATTACTGTCACTATTTATAAAGTACTAGACGTGCTGAAAAGTATAAACTTTCCCCTAAATAGCATATTTCGCGAATCTTAGAGAATAAAACTTACTTTATCACCAGCTTTTCTTGTCAGCATTCCAAACAGAAAAACAGCACAAATAATACCCTGAGGTAAAGCAACAAATACTTGATTCAAATGGTGAATACTGTCTGCGTGTCGAAAGGCAAAGCTCAGACCTATGCAAACACCGCCATAGATAGCAGCTTTTAAAAGAAAGTACATAAATAAAGTATCAAAATTAAAACCTCTGTTTATAAATGAAGTAAACTAAAAGTATCTAAGTTTTGTAAGCAGTATATCTATTGATTCAGACAAAGAGATAGTATAATAAAATAACATTTCCTTGCCTAGTTCTCCGAGCGAGTTTTATTTTAATTCTGCCTTTCAAAAAAACTTCAACAGGGCCTGTATTGTTTTTCGTTATTTTTTTTTAAGTTATACTATATTACTCTTAGTTTGAATGTGGTATTTATAAAATAAAGCCAAATCTTGGAAAGAGTTTAAATTTTAAGGAGTAGTTACATTTAAAAGCCATTGATGCTAATTAAGCCAAGACTTCTAATTAGGGTAAATTTAAACAGCATATACATTGATATTTAATAAACTGTTAATACTTTTTGTACAGGTATTTGTAAAGTTATTTGCAATAAACTAGTTATTTATTTAGTTAATTAATTCTTCACAAAATTGGGAATAATATGCATGTGCTTGAAGACAAGCTACCATGAAAGCGGCTTCCAAAACGAGAGCATCATGCATTGCTGACTCTGAGTCGCAATGCCGCTGGTCACCCACGAATTCTGAACACCAAAAACTAAGTCAGAAAGCAAAGGTTGACGGCGAAGGAGCACAAAAACCAAGATTAAAGCAACAAGGTGACTGTGCAATTCACTCGCAGTTGACAACAGCATGTGAACAATTACATCGTGTTTCAAGTCTTCAATCCGAAAATTAATCGTAACGCCCCAGTATTTGTTTAAATACATTGAAGAAGCATATTTTTAAATAGATTATTTCGCTAAAAATACTTCACACGATTAATTTTTACCCGTATAATACTAGTGAGGTCGTTGGAAACTTACACACAATTTTTGCGAGTAGGATGATTTTCAAATCAGAAATGTTGCCCTTTCTGAAGATTGGTATTAAATAATCAATGACTGTAACAGTTGAGGCTGAGTTTAGACACGAGGAAATAGTACTCATGGAAGCACTGAAGATACCAGCTATGCATAGACCTGTCAGTCCTGGATAAGAGCTAAATCTTGTAACAATGTAAGCAGGGACAATCTAAAAAGAATTTAATAATTGTTTGCGTTAATGTAGTAAATGTAAGAAATAAATGCTTAATAGTTTGTTAAAGGAAAAATTATCTCTTTATATTTAAAAATTATAAGGATTTTAAAAAATAAGAAAACTTAGAGGCTTGAAATTGCGAAGGAGGATTACGAAGTGTATTAAATAAGGAAAATAAGATTTAATAAATAATTCGAGATTTATTAATTTTTAAACTTGTTAGAAAAACACTACACGGGAAAGGTCACAGGCTGCAGAAATATAACTATAATAGTTGAAATTTTTCATTCTGAATTGGTTATATTTGTTTATAAATTTTATAGAGTAACTCTTTCGAAATTCTAATTATTTCAAATGTTACTGCAATTTTAAGTAAGTTTTTATAAATTTTTTTCTACAAATAAAAAAAAATGCAATGAAATAGAAAAATGTGATTCGACTAATTACTCGAGAATTATTATTAACTGTTAAACTTGTAGTAAAAAACCCTCTACTGCCCACAGAAATGCAACTCTAGAATTTAAATTTAATGATCCGATAGGACCGAGCACAGTAAAGGACCCTCGGGGATTTTTGGGGATGTTAAATTATTACCATCGGTTTTTGTCAAAAACAGCTCAAAACCAAGCTCTTCTGCATGATTTTTTAAAAGGAAATTGGGAAAAAGAGTACTAAGCCAATATCTTGGACAGAGGTTGGGCGAGCAGCTTTTCCCAGTTGCAAACAAAATCTCGCCAATGTGAGATGGCTAAAATATCCAAATTCAACATTTGAATGGCCCATGTATGTAGATGAGGCAGATTCAGCAGTTGGAGGAATTTGACAACAACGCTTTAAAGATTCATGGCAACCAATAACATTCTTCTCGAGAACACTAACGATAGCACAATTCAATTATAGTACGTATAATCACGAATTACTTGTAGCCTACTCGTCTATCAAATATTTTAAACATATCTTTTAAGAAGAACATTTTATTTTATTTACCGACCACAAATCTCTGACGTTTGTCATGTAATAACGACCAGAAAAGTGATGCTTACGATAGCAGTAACACGTAGATTACATAGAACAATTCACTACTGATATGCGACTTATCTGGCTTGCTGAAAACCCCGTGGTTGATGCTTTATCTCGCATCGATGACATCACTGCACCCAGCAAATTAGTTTATGAAGCTCTAGTAAGAGCACTCGATGAAAGATGCTGAGCATGTTTTCTACTTTCAGTACTATAAATTTACAACGTATTCCACTTCCAAATTCTACAGTGATGCTATTGCGAGCGTTCTACAAACCAAGCGGGATCTTACTTACTAGAGAAAGAAAGCTTTTGAAATAATCTATGAATTATCTCATCCAGGTTTGCGAACAACGTAAAAATTACTTCAATAACGTTTTTTCTAGCTTAACATAAATGCTGATTCCACCTCTTGATGATAAGCGTGCACATCGTGCCAACGCATAGCAGTTAGTCGTTCCATTACCACACAGCCAATAGTTTTCCAACCTAGTTCAGATCGTTTTTCTCATATACATATTGGCATAGATTGCCACCGATTAGACCCTTGCCTCCGATTAGCGAGACGGCTATCTGCATCAACTGCCACTGTGAGCACCGGGCCTGTTTTGCAAGTTGAAGTGAGACTTCAACTCTAGGCCCAAGAGAAGCCTAGAGGTATTCCAGCGCAGCCACAGAAAACCTCCGATTCAGCTACCAGATTTCTGCTAATCTTCAAGGAGATGCAGAAGTTACTGAATGATAAAAAACTATTCAATTTGATTAAATTCCCACTCTCCTGAAACCATAGACGCAGAGATCATCCTCTCACCACACCTTTTAAGATTTCCACATAATGGATGTTATAACCGTCTTTGAACAACCGACCTAATTTTTTTTTGGTGTTATGACTACTAATGTTCAACTCAATAGTCTTGTATTTTGAACCTAATCCTGAAGAGCTTATGCCTTCGATGAGAAATTTTTGATGCAACTAATCCGCATTTGCGCTACATGGAGAGGATGACCACGAGAACCTCCCACGGTTAGTCTGACGGCAAGGGTATTCTAACCCACTATCCGCCTGCCACTGAGGATATTCCACGTCAGCACTGTGGTCGGTCCAAGCCGGAAACGGAATTCGTATCGACTAGGATTTGAACCCGTTTTGCCTCATTGGAAGGCGAATCCTCTATTCCCTGAGACATCATGGCTCTCAGATGCGCATTTAAGAAAATGGACGTAGTTGGCATTGCTTGTATACGAAAATGGACATTGTAAATGCGCATTTATAATGCCGATGCAATCAATACTGTATATTCTCTTGATAGATATTGAAAAAATTGGTTTTACAACCCTGGAAGATACAAGTACAGATGAAACTTACTTGATTGTGGTAAATTTTAAATGCAGTGGGTTGCTTAGAGTAACAGCATTATGCCAGATGATTCCGAAAACAGTTGACACAGAAACAAAATGACGAAGTACCTATTTTGCTTAATCTAATAGTCCCGCAGTGGACTGATCGTTAAGACACGGTTCCCAGCAGATCACCCAAGTCAATCATCACTGGCTACGGTCAGTGTGCGGGTGGGTGACCACTTGGATCAGCCTGCGTAGGGACCGAGGGTGTGCGGTATTGGTCCTCGTTAAACTGCTCTACCGTAAAGTGCTCGACTTCGCGAGCAGGTCGTTGGGCTACCGAAGTGGGGTGCCATCCCCTCTGCAGAGGATCAAAATTGTGATGGCATGTCTTCTGATCATCCTCTGGGGTGTTTCCTAGACCGTCGCCAATAGCCCATCGTGCAGCTCTAGTGCGACGTAAATTAACTACAACAACAACTTAATCTAATAAGGTAAAGCCATTAAGAAAAGCAGCAATTAATAATAAATATAAAAAACATTGAATTAATTTAGACTTTATTATTTTTATCGGTAATTATCTTAACATTTTGTTTAAAACTTTCTAGTTTTGTTCAGCATCGATTTATACATTTTTTTCCACCTCGAAAGAAGAACGAGCATTCAGCTAGTTAGTTAATTTAAGAAAGTATTTTATTTTCAACAGATAGTTTAAAGAAATAAGAATATATTTTAAGCAGATAGTTTAAAAGAAATATTATATATAAGTATTTTTAAATGTTGCTTCATTTTTTTGTTTGTAATTTTCATACTTAATTCTATTGCTTTGTATTTTTTACATGAAAACATAAAGTTCATTTGATTAATTTTTTTACACCATTTGTCACTTACTTGATCATATTTTCTCAATCCTGTTCTCTCTTTGTCTAAGATTGGGTCACAGTTATAGTAAACACCATATAACACCACTCCAATGTAACAGCATGCAGAGTACATGAGACACATTGGTAAACTACTCATTCGGAGAGTTCTGTAAATATTTTATGATATATTTGAATAAAAGTTTTGGATTTTATTTTAAAGTTTAAATCTAAATAAATGGGAAAAGTATACATGTTTTTAAAATAATCCTATTTATTATTTAAGAGAAAGAACATTGAAATAAAATTATTCTAATGATATAAAATAAAATTGCTTTGATTTCTTGATTCAGTATTAGGAACTTAGGCAATTTTCATGCTTGTATATATATTCAATTTTAAGTTTTCAATTGCATTTATAGTTTTAATTGAAATTACTTAGAAAAAGATATATCAATTTAGTTTGATATTAAATATTTTAATACTATTTTAAATATTAAATTATAAAACTTGGCATAAGTTGCATAATAAGGATGATTATATTAAGATTTTTAAATCTATGTGAACTGTTGTAAATAATTTTATAATTTATAATTTCTATCTGTTCCTGTTCTATTAAGCCTAGTTCGAATATTTATATACTATATTGGTTTACAAACTAATTTTATTTGGGGAAGTAATGTTCGAATGCATCCAAAAATTACATGTTCTAACTACAAACTGTTTCATAAAAATAATTTGAATGACTAATATCTGTATAATATTTTACTGTTACTGTAGATTAGTAAAATTGTGTTATTGGATAACAAAAATGACGGCAGCTCCTTTACACCAAGTAGTGTGAAAGAACATTCTTGGTGTTTCACTACACAAAAATCTATTCTTGGTTCTTGGAGAAATGAAATACCTTGAACCAGGAGTTACGTATGGTGTTTCGCTACAATACTTAAGCATTTCACCAGTTTTGGTGATATGATACACCATAATATATTTTTTTCGCGTGGAATGACGGCTTGTAGATAATTATAGCTTTATTGTTACATCTAGAATGAATGAGAAAGTAAGTATCATCTTATTAAAATGAAATTACTCTTATTCATGTGTATGTGAAATTTTTTGAAACTGCCTCTTTCATTGCTGAAAACCTATTTTTTTAAGCCCAGTTTATCTATATCATCATATAATATTAGTTTAAGTTCTTCTCGTGAATTCTGTTCTGAAGTTAAACGAATATCTTTACAGCTGTTGTTCTAGAATTATTAAACAAATTCACTTCTCTCTTCCATTGAGAATGCATAACTTCTAGCTTACAATTTGTTTTATTAAATTATCACAATTTTGATTGGCAGTAAGTTCTGTTTAGCGAAAGAAGGACATTTAATTATAATTAAAATGCCGGAAAGCAATTGAAATATGTGTAGAATTGATGTGTAACAATTTTCCAGATTAGGACAGAATTTTTATTAAAAATGTCTCGATTTCTATATCGACTGTAAGATGTTTATGCTTCCATCCAGTCTTGTTTTGATACTGCCATCTAGTCAATGTTCTTAAAATATGAAAGATACAAACAATGAATCAAATAATAGTTTTTGAAAATCTGGGGTGATACTACGTGCTTTTGCTTAGTAACTTTTATAGTAATTTGGCAAAAAAAATTTACTTGATACAGTTAATATGACTCTGATGCAGAAAGATCAAGATCAGGATAAGCTACACTTTTCAAGGCAGGATAGAATTTTTGTTGCAAAGCATTAAGATTATCATACTGACTCTAACATGTTCGTAGCTGATATCTAGTGGATATTCTAAAAATATAAAAAAAGTACATATTTGGAAACAATCAACAGTTAATTTTTGAAAATTAGATGTGTAGTATGGCGTGCTCTTTGGCTACTAAAAATGAGAGAAAAACATAACTCGATACAGTAAATATGATTTTTATGCGGAGTTAGAAAGCTCTATATCTTTAGAACAATTTTGAAGGTATTTAAGAATTATTTTTAACACCTATAAAAACATATTAATTAATTCATATGCTCAATGTTTTTAGGTTGTTACATACATACGATTTTGCTCGTTTTATGTCACTGAGACTCAGTAATCTTTGTACTTCAACTTGATTTGTTCCAAAGAAAGCCATTCCCACCATAATTCCTTGAGTTGCGCAAGCCCAAAATCCATACCGTCTGGTTACATCTGGCATGAGTCTGTAATGTAACAAAAATAAAACAATGTCGTTTGTAATGAGAATCAATAACTTTGAAAAAATTCTTACTCGAAAAAGTTTAGTCTTTTGCCATTCGAAACCTTTCGAAAGAGATCGGAAATACCACCTGCATCAGAGATGCCTGCTATGTATATAGCTAGCAAACAAGTTGTCATTAAAATAGCTTGAAAAACATCTGTCCACAAAACAGCTTTAAGTCCTCCCTAAATAATAAAATAAATAAATGCATATTAGATAATATGTAAGAAACCCACATCAAAATAAGTCTCGTGTTAAAATGTAAAGTTACAGTCAGGATAATTTTTAAAAGGTTTTTCTTCTTAATAAAAGTAATCAAATGCGCAGAACACGTACACGTGAATGCATTGAGATGGTAAGCGTGAGTGTCAAATATCTTCATTGTCAGAATTGCCAAGTTATACAAATCGAACCGTGGTGGCTCAGGGATGGACCATTCGCTTGACAATGAGGTGACCCTGTATCGAATCCCAGTGGTTGCTCAGGGGATAGAGCATAGGTTCTCAACCTTTTTAACGTTGCCGCCCCCTTAAGGAGCAAAAAATATTTCAACGCCCCCCTTTAAAAAATTCCTGTTATTTTAAGCATGGGGACGGAGGGATATGTGCTGAATTATAAGAGGCAAATTTTTTAAGCATTTTTTTTACTCTTTGAATTTGTTTGGTTTTTTAAAAAGGAATAAATTAACTCGATAATTTTCTCACGGCAGGTAATCGCCGTCTATTTGTTATGATCAAAATAAATACGTTTAATGAAAAAAAAAATACAACTAAGAAACCTATGCTTAAAAAGAATAATTTATTCTAAATTAGATAATTAAAATAACACCCAAAATAATTTTGTTACACTAAAAAGTAGTATCAACGAAACATTCAAGTAACTATGTTAGTGGGATGATTGTACTTAATGGTTCAGAACCAATTCCTTAACGCTCGGTTCAATACTTTTAGTGAGATGAAGATGCAAATACCCACGTTTGCACAATTTCGAGTCGATTTCTTCTTTTTGTGACAAGATCCGTAACAGCACTGAATCCACATTCGACAAGT